TGCAGAGCTGCTGGACCTCAGTGCTGCTAATCCCTGAGGATCTCCTCTCCTCCGCAGGCTCTCAAACCAGGGAGCAGCAGCGGAGAGCACAGCCCTCGTTCTGCTTACCCCTCTGTCCTTGTGCTTCCGCTTCTCCAGTCAAGGAAAACTCTGGTTTTCCAGTCTCCTGTTTAACAGGAGGCCTAAGGGGTGTGCGTGCATGTCAGTCTCCGCATCCTCTCCTCTGACCCAGAGGCAGAGATAAGAAAGGGCCAGAGACAGAAGATTCAGAAAGTTGGCTGCTCTCTCTGAAAGAGATGGATGATGCACGTGTAAAGTGCAGTGGAGGCTTCCTTGTCCAGCGTGAGCCCAACGTCCTTAGCGTGGTGGTCTGTTCAGGTGGCAGGCATTCCTCTCCTTCCATACTGTACTGGTTTTGCTCTTCCAGGTGAAACTAGTGGATGGGTCTGGTGCTCCAATCGCCAATGAAATTGTGAGGATTTCTTTACAAGGAGGCCAGGAAACCAACTACACAACAAATGAAGAGGGCAGGGCACGGTTTTCCCTGAACACTTCCACGCTGAACTTCGATACTGTTGGAATTCGGGTGAGTCCTGCGGGCAGAGGAGGTGATGAAGTGGCCCACAGTACCTCTGAAGCTGCTGCTATACAAAAGCTCTTAGCTTCTGGTTCCTGGTTGATTGTGCCAACCTTGATACCAGTGTGGTGGAAACAGCCGTACAGCAAACCAGGCTGCCATGTCACGGTTGCATTTGGGCTGTGAGTGTTTGATTTCTGCGGGGCCAGAGCAATATAGGGTTAGAAGGAACATCAGGCCATCAAAACAGTCCGTTCTGCTGTGAGGGATCACCAGCCTTACCTGGACAAATCTGTTTCAAGGGTGGGTCTAACTCCCATGGTGGAGTGCTGCTAGTGCTTCGCTGTCTTTTCAAGTCAATGATTTCCCAACTATCTCATCTAAATATCCTTTGTGGTCTGGTAAGGCAACCTGCAGCTTTCAGAGTTTAGCAAAAATTAAAACTAAAATGAAAATTAAATTTAAAAACCCCTCCTTTTCTTTTTTTTTTTTTTTTTTTTTTTCCTGCCATATAGAGAAAAAGAGCATGAACCATTCACAGAAATTCTCTCCCTGCTTTGGAACTTGTTTATCTGGGAAAACTAAGTGCTGCTGAGCATCCTTTTGTTAGTGAAAACTGTAATATGTGTGTAATGCACACATCTCATAATATCTCACCCTGGAATAGGGCAGATTGTCTAGAATTATATTTGCTCTTCTCCCTACAATTCTCTTGTCACAGATTAAAACCATTAAAAATTGTGCAGAAGCTACCACAGGTGCTTGAAGTTTTCAGAACTTTGCAGGGTAAAGAAAAGGCAAGAATTCCCAAGTATAGTGAGAAAGAGAAGTAAATAAGGACACGTGACACGCAAGAAATGCTGAAGGAGCACCCTTTCAGTGTGAAATATCTTCCCCTGGCTCTCATTTTTGAGACGGCCTGGACTCTCTCAGGTCTTAAACTTCCATTCAATTTAGGTTTTCAGTTCTCATGTGGAGACTTTTCCTCCTTTTCCTCCTCCTTTTCCTGCTATGGAAAATAGCATCCTTAGCTTAATCTTGGCACTAGTTACCTCTGAACCAAACAGTACTATCCCTTCTCCAGCACCAGTCATGAGAAGAAAAAGGAAAATCAACTTCTCTTCTCTCTAACAGGGTATTAGAGAGGGCAAGGTATTAGCTTAAAGAGCTCTTGGGATGAAGTTGGTGGTAAACCAACTGATATGATTCAGCTTGTTTGAGACAAACTCCACCTTCTCTGGGAGTGAGATCATTCCCAATGATTTGGTAGGGATACCACCACCCTGTCTTGCGTCTTCCAAACTCATGGTGGGTTTTTTTTGTGGACTCCTTTGTTGCTTAAACACAAAAAATACCAAACCTTTAATAGCCATGAATTTTGGCTGCAGTTCAGCCCCCCGTGTTTGAGGATCTGTGTGTGTGTTTTCTCCTTTTCCAGGCGACTCATAAAGTACACCCCTACTGCTACGACCGCTCCTGGGTTGTTCCGTATTATGAAGAAGCCCATCTCCAACTGAAGCGCTTTTACTCTCCTAGTAATAGCTTCCTCAAAATTGAGCCCAAGTCCGAGACACTCAGCTGTGGCTCCTCCACCGAGGTCCCGGTGCACTATATCCTTACTCCAGGGGCCGTGGGAGACCAGAAGAAAATTGTCTTTTACTACCTGGTGAGCTTGCACCTGCCATGCGGTGAGGTTGTCACTGGTCATTCTGGTGGGGCTGGAGATGGAAGTTGTGGTTTGTGGTAGCAGGCTTTAAACACTTTCCCCTCATCCTTCATAGGTTATTTTCCCCCAAAAAGGGGGAACCTCTTTAAGGTTTGGCTCATGCAGAACCTCGATCACAGCAGGGTTTCTCCTTCCATTCAGGTGATGGCCAACGGAATCATTAAGCATGCGGGCACCCACGTTCTGGATTTGGACCAGGAAAGTGGTGAGTTCCTCTCCATTCCCAAATTGTTGCTGTCCTGGGAGGTAGGCAACTGTGGCAGACATACAGGCTGCTTCCATGTAAACACAGGGATCCACATCTCCATGTCCTCTAAGACAGGGGAAGAGTTTGAGGTTTTTTTTCTCTGCCTTTGTTGAGGCTTTGCACAGATTTGCTCTAATCCTCTCTGCCAGTTGTCTTTCTTCTGGCACTGCGTTTCTGGGGCTCCAGTGCTCCTAAGAGACGTAGACTGATGATCTGTTTTTAGAAGCTGTACCACAATTCAGCATGCTTATGCCCTGGAAAAGAGGACTTGAAACAGGCCTTTACAGTCAGACAGTGAGACTTACACATCTCTCTGAGCACCAGTTCATTCCACTTGCAGGCCTGGAGTCTCATCATGGTTAGAATGAAATTCAGCCAGACCTAGGACTTTGGCTGCTCCAAGAGCAGGTTTCCTGTACCTTAACTTTTTGATCTCCTTTCGTTTGCTAGCCAGTGGGGTCTTCTTGCTACAGCTGCCTGTGGAAGCTGATATTGCTCCTGTGGCCCAAGTGCTTGTCTACACCACTGGCCCCAGCGGGGAGGTGATTGCTGATTCAACCAAGTTCAATGTAGAAAAGTGTTTCAGCAATAAGGTAAGTGTCCACTTCTTGAGGGAGCGGCCATCAGGCTGCAGCGTGCCCAAGCTCATTTGTTTAGATTTAGCCTGGCTAAGCTCATCTATTTAGATTTACTACCACTGGACAAGCCACCCATCAATTGTTCTAGGTAGTTTCATTGCTTACTGGTTTGTGCTAGCTTGGAGGAGACTAACGGTTGGAAGAAAGGTGCTAGCAGAGACTACACTGCTAAAACCCCTCTTAGCAACTAGTCGCAGCCACCGATCCCACAGATGGTCCTGGATAGGAAAAAGGGAGGCTGCATGTCTTGTGTCATGCTGCAGCCCGTGTATTTCACTCCATTTCCCACAAGCTCATTCCCGCAGTGAGATGGCTGCTTGTGTGGTCACAGAACAAACCCAAAACACACAACCCCCAGTCCAGTGGGAGAAGCTAACGCTTTTCAGATCTTTTAGATCCCATACATCTCATCCTGGCATTTTAATGTCTGTTGTATGCAAATGGAGGTGAACCTTGCCTGAACCTGCCGAGCGATGCACAGTGGTGCTTCAGTAGTAATGTTAGACTGGAAGAGTGCAGACAAATAAAGGGGCCTTTCTGTGAGCGTGTGGACCATTGTGCTCTTCCAGCCCCACACATTCCTTAGGCAAAAGAGTAGATGGATGTATGAGCAGCCCTAAGAAAAGAACATCCTCAAAAATTCCCATCGGAACTTCAGAATAGTAGACAGGACACTGCTAAAGGCAATCTCTTGTCCTGCTAAAACCCAAGCTAAATGAGTTCTTGAGACTGGTGTCACTGTAGGAGCTTGGTCACTCGAGTTTTATTTATATATTAAAGGTCACGTGCACTGCATCAAGGTCTGGGTGCAAGCCGAGTGCCAAGTGATTTCCATGCTTAGATACGGCTTTCCTCTCTGAAAGCATCCTGAATTCAAAGCTGTTGTCAGGCCAGATAGGACGGACTTGAGGCTATCTCTATGCTGGACGGTTTTTCTAGAAGCAAGCTTGCTACAGCCCTTGTTCTGCCATTTCCTGAAGAATATTGTTTTTGCAGTCTTGAGATCGTGAGTCCACCCTGGGAGCGGTGGGGAGTGTCAGCAGAAGGCCTCCTGTGGTCTGCTAGAGGCACGAGGGAGACTGGGAGCTGATGCTGCTTTGTCAGGCAACATGTTTAATCTGAAGATGCTTCGATCGTTGCGTGTTAGGGGAGGGTTTGTACTGCTGAGGAGAGGGAAAATTTATGCAGGTCAGCCATCTTATTACAAAATCACGATGGCAACAACTTCTGCTAGCAAGAACTTCCAGGGCAGAGGTTGGCAGGGGGTTGTTAGAGTTGTGCGTTAGGTTTTCGGGAAGGCACACAAGTCTGGCAGGCGTCAACCAACACGTCGGTTCTTCGGAATCGTTACCAGCTAGTAGATATTGCAGTATTGCTCCAGAGCATCCCTGCTTCTCATGTTACCAAAGAATGTGCTAAGCAAGGTCTTTGCAAGCCTGTTTTCTCTCCATATACAGTATCTGGGTGCAGTACAAGTTCAGGACCATGCCCAGCTGCCTGAGCAGATCTGGCCGCTCTGTGGGATTATCTCATCACATTCACAGTGGCCTTAAAACTCCAAAACTACCTTAAAAGTTTTATGAGCAGCTGTGATGCTCAAAGTTGCCAAGAACTGTTAGTGCTGATTGCTCTGGCACCAAAGGAAGGAAACCCAGCTCTGCAGTAGCACAGAGGGAGAGGGTGGGTGGGTAGGTGGGTGTGCATGTCTGCGTGGGCTTTGTTGGGTCAGAACTGATACACACAATGGGAGGGAAAAGTCCTACAAGGGCAGAGTGTCTGTGACATTGCTTCTCTTGTGGCTACAGGTGGACTTGAGCTTCTCTCCTTCTGAAGGCCTGCCTTCCTCTGACGCTCGCTTGCTGTTCAGAGCCTCCCCGAACTCCCTCTGCGCTGCCCGTGCCGTGGACAAGAGCGTTCTCCTCATGAAGCCAGAAGCCGACCTGTCGCCCAGCTCCGTAAGTGCTTCGTCTGCGGAGCAGCTCGGAGCCTGGTCAGAGCAAGTGATGCCCAGTGCTGGGGTGGGAACAGCCGACAGCCCCTCTGGCCAGTGCTGACCCGGGAAAGATGCCCTGTGCTGCTTCTTGTCCTCCTTCAGTGAGCAAAACGCTGAGAACCAGGCAGCAGTCGTTATTTGGGATTTTGTGCGACTATAGGGATGGAAATTAGGAAGCTCTTTTAAAGCGACTGCTTCTCCTGGCCAGAGCCAAACACTGTTGTGTGTCTGGTGATGCTTTTTCAGTTATTCTCTCCAGCCATGGATTAATTTTCTTGGAATAGCGTCTGGAAGTGTCAGAGAGTTTATTCCCCTCATGCCAAGCAGCAAACGACAATCCCTGAGTAGGGACGAAGGGCTGCAGCTGGGCTGGCCAGTGTAATTTTTTTAGATATTTGAGCCATAATAGTGAGAGTGACATGCTGTCCGTAACAAAAGAGGCAGATCCAAATTTAGATCTCTTTTTTGACTCCCAAATTCCCATTGCCCCACCACAAGGAGGACCATGGCAAGGCAGATGTATGTACAGGTGATGTGACTGTTACGATGCTGCATCCAAGTCCCACAGTTGTGTGTTGTGACAGTGGACTCTGAAAATGCCGAATACCCTGGCTCTTTCTCCCTAGGTGTACGGCTTGCTGCCGGGGAAGAAATTGCATGACTATAGACATGGTCCAGAAATGGACTTGGAGGATCCCCTGGAGAATTGTGTCCCCTTGAAGACAATAACTGTGAACGGGATCACCTATTCTCCAGTAGAGACGCAAGAAGATGACGCTTACAGCATCCTAAAGGTATGGCCCTCTTGCACGGTTACGGGGTGGCATGGGAGAGGTGGCATGGGAGAAGGACTGAGAATGCTTAAGCCTTCTGGGCGTGACACAAGATAACAAGGGAAAGATTTGTGAATCTGAATGATCCGACAGTCATTTTTATCCAGAGGCATGTTCAGTCAGGGTCATAAGTTTCACCTGTCTTGCCAGCTTTGCTCCTGCCTTGCTGGAAAAGGAATCAGTCTCAAAGTTTTCTTCTTG